CCCCAGGGCACGGCGAATCGGGGCGACCGCCCTGGGCCCCGCGCTTTGGGGGGGGGCGCATCGCTATTTTAAGTCCCCTTTACACGCAACACGACATCGTCATCAGCGTCGTTTGTGGAGAACGTGAATATATCAATGTAAGCAAGATAAGCGGAGAATAAATAAAGCGGAGAATGTTTGTTTACACATCCCATCAGCCTAGACAGCCTGCCTTGGAGTACATTTATTTTTTTTATCAGTATTTGTTCAAACGCAATCGGAACTCTGGACCGGTTTCGACATTCGTATGCATGTACGTCACTTCTTTCGAACCGTACGTGGCCAACCGTGCTAATCGGAGGTGTCTCATTGGCAAGCGTCAAGGGGGGCTGGCTTTGGACCGATGCCGCTGACGAACTTCCAGCAGCCGTGCGTGAAATACGCAAGGACTGTGCCTCTCTGCGAGATAAGGGCCCGAGTTCACGTCATGATCCGCTCTGGAGTGCGGGTGGAATTCGTCACTCTTATCCCTCCACCGTCGTGAAACCGCATGCATTGCACGCAACGGTTCAAACTTTAAAAAAATTGGGAGCCACGATGACGAGATGTTAACTACCTCGCCTGGTATGCAGGAGGTCGTGGGTTCAATCCCCACCCTGATACCTGCCGCTGTATATTTAGAGTTTGCGTGTCTCTCTCTGTCATCATCATCACGGTGGCTAGGAGATGTTAACTACCTCGCCTGGTCTACAGGAGGCCGTGGGTTCGATCCCCACCTTGATACCTGCCGCTGTATATTTAGAGTTTGCGTGTCTCTCTCTCATCATCACGGTGGCTAGGAGATGTTAACTACCTCGCCTGGTATGAAGGAGGTCGTGGGTTCGATCTCGACCCTGACGCCTGCTGCTGTATATTTGGAGTTTGCGTGTCCCTCTCTCTCATCATCACGGTGGCTAGGAGATGTTAACTACCTCGCCTGGTATACAGGAGACCGTGGGTTCAATCCCCACCCTGACACCTGCCGCTGTATATTTCGAGTTTGCGTGTCTCTCTCCCCGTGGTCGCGTGGAATTCTTCTCCGCGTCCTGCGGTTATTCCTTCCACATTCATATTTTTTTAAAGTCAATTTGATCATTGAGATTGTTTTGGGGCTATAAATTCCCACGCGAGAAACCACTGAGACATCATTTGTTATGGCCGGGTCAGTGGGCCTTATCTGGTAACATAAAATAAAGTTTACAGTTTGATAGTTTAAGCACCCGATTGTCAGACACGCGTGATGTAGCAGATCAGCGTGATACCATCAAGGGATAAGAATCGATGTTTGTGGTGAATTATATATTATTTTGTTCCTGGGTAGTAAGTGTTATTTCCTAATTACTTATGCCTCAAAAGTACAGGAAATTTATATTATTCCCCACAAACTTTGCTTTTGTGACCAGGACAGTGATATTTGGAAATGTACCTATTTTCAATGAGAAAACGGGCGAATGTGTGTCTTTCGTTGCTGAGTCTATGGGTAGTGTCGAGTCTATGGGCAGTGCTGAGTCTATGGGTAGTGTTGAGTGTATGGGCAGTGTTGAGTCTATGGTGCAGTGTTGAGTCTATGGGCAGTGCTGAATCTATGGGCAGTGTTGAGTCTATGGGCAGTGTCGAGTCTATGGGCAGTGTTGAGTCTATGGGCAGTGCTGAGTCTATGGGCAGTGTTGAGTCTATGGCGCAGTGCTGAGTCTATGGGCAGTGTGAGTCTATGGGCAGTGCATTTGCGTCTTTCGTTCACATAAAGTCCAGGTCACAAAAGAAACGTTTGTGGGAGAATAATAGCAATTTTCTATACTTTTTAGGCATAAGCAATAAAAAAAATAACACTTCCTACCCAGGGAACAAAAGTCGTGTCGCATAGTGTAAGCCGATGTTTCGTGGAGTCTGTTCCTTCGTGATGCTGCCGGTGACGCTGCGTTGGACTGCGCGCAGTGAACTGTTCCGCGCGTGTGGTGAGTTTCGTTTGAAGTCAGATACTCTTAGCTTAACTCTGCGCACCACCCACGAAGGCGACACACGAGATGGTGAGGCTAACGCACAGACAAAGATCTCCCGTATAGCCTTGAACAGGCTGCTGGGGCAAGCGGGTGCAGTTAGCGAGCAACTACGAAGGCCGGAACGGCGCGCGAGGGGGTGGAGTGGCCTTTGTCATTTGAGGCTCAGTCTACCTAGGGGAGGACCAGGACTGGTGCAGATGTAAATCACTGGTGTTGCCCGCGTCCGTAGCGCAGCGCGCTAACCATTGCCCCACCGCTCCATCATTATGTTAAAATTGTATATACGTTTACAGACGTGCAAAAAAACATGCTTGTGTATTGTATACACTCGTGCTGCATACCACACAAGGTATATCCATACTACGCCAACAAGCATACCGATCATTCGATGATACGTTAACGTGACGTCTCTGTGCCAGGCCAGGTACGCACGTACACATAAAATGGCATGCACACAAAGATACACATCATACTTAGATGTGACGTGCGCACACACGTGCGCACCTCGAAATAGTCCGCTAATCTACTGAATTCACACGCGCGTACCTGTGTTACTGCGTAGGTACAATTGACGTTCTACTCTGAAACTTCCTTCCCAAGATCTTCCTATATACGTCTTTATCGCACCGTTCGAGCAAGTTCTGTTAGCGAGCGCCTATGAAGGCATTTGTCTCCCCAGTGGCGATGTTTGCACACCGCACCAGGCACTCGTTCAAGGCTGAGTCGACCTTCGGGAAGGCCCAATACCGGTGCAGATATCGCCCCACTGCTTGTGATCGCTCTGAGCGCAGTGCGTTAACCGACTACGCTACCGCTCCCCGAGTAAACGCATACACGCCGCGCCCTTAACCCTTGGCTGTGGCAACCCTCGTAGATTGTTGGTTTTTTACCCTTCTATCTGGCAACAAAACTGACACCTTTTTTTACAAGGAGTCATGTTTGCATAGACCACAATACCTGCAGTCATAATGCAAACAAAAACATAACTCTGATAATGTATGCACTGTCCTTGAAGTTGATTAGTTCACACCCGAGACAGCTTTCCTTAGAGCCTAGTCTCACATGGGTTGGACCAGATGACGCCAAAAGGCGCACAACTCAAAGACAATGCACCATCAGAGTATGAGAGCTCGGGGTAAGAATTTACACCATTGGAACCTCATTTGCCAGTAAAAAATATGATAATAGTTTTTTTACCCTTCTATCTGGCAACAAAACTGACACCTTTTTTTACAAGGAGTCATGTTTGCATAGACCACAATACCTGCAGTCATAATGCAAACAAAAAAACATAACTCTGATAATATATGCACTGTCCTTGAAGTTGATTGGTCCACACCCGAGACAGCTTTCCTTAGAGCCTAGTCTCATATGGGTTGGACCAGATGACGCCAAAAGACGAGTTATGTTTTTTGTTTGCATTATGACTGCAGGTATTGTGGTCTATGCAAACATGACTTCTTGTAAAAAAGGTGTCAGTTTTGTTGCCAGATAGAAGGGTAAAAACCAATTATCATATTTTTTACTGGCAAATGAGGTTCCAATGGTGTAAACGCTCGTAGAGCTGCTGGTTGCTGGCCGTTTGGCGTTCGTGCCCTTTTGGGCTCAGCAAAGGCAGTGGGCTGAACAGGAACAACCCGCAGAACATTAATGTGGGGGGGGGGGGGGGGGGGTTGGTAGGGGAGGGGAGTCGGGACCGGATCGGGTATCACTGGCTAATGTTGATGGTAAGCCGTGGGCCCCGAATCGAATTATCGTTGCGCGAGTGCGCTAACCACTGCGCCACCGCTCCGCACGCATGCAGTATATAGTCTAGACTGTATCTGGTTTGTATGTATAGAGAGGTTCTTTATTTAAACACTTGAGAGCCCACATTCCGATCTGCGATGCCCTTTGTAATTTATAATTGTGAATAGGAACACGTGTGTGTGTGTGTTACGCGTGTGCGCCTGTGTTGGTAGCTATGTGGGGAGCGGTGGTGTAGCGGTTAGCGCGCTGCGCTACGAACCTGGCGACCCGGGTTAGATTGACGCTCACGGCCAACATCAGTGACGATTATCTGAACCGGCCCTGGGCCTCCCCTAGGTGGACTCAGCCTCAAATGTGTACCTGGTGCGATGTGTAAACATCGCCACTAGGGAGACAAAGGCGGCCGGGCGTGGTGTTGGCCACCCATCCCTCCGTGTGCCGTGCCGGCTTTTATAGGTGCTCGCTAACAGCACTTGCCCCTAAAGTATGTTAAGGCTATACGGGAGATCTTTGTCTTTGTTTACACGTAATTTTTATTTTATTTAACTGTAGGGTAGATTGATCAGAAGCGATGATGACGACGGTGTGTGTGTGTGTGTGTGCTCGGCTGATGGTGACGATGATGTCTGTGTGTGTGCTAGGCTGATGATGACGATGGTGTGTGTGTGTGCTAGGCTGATGATGATGATGGTGTGTGTGTGTGTGCTAGGCTGATGATGATGATGGTGTGTGTGTGTGCTAGGCTGATGATGTGTGTGTGTGTACTAGGCTGATGATGATGATGTGTGTGTGTGTGCTAGGCTGATGATGATGACGATGTGTGTGTGTCTCTGTGTGTGTGCTAGGCTGATGATGATGATGGTGTGTGTGTGTGTGTGTGCTAGGCTGATGATGATGATGGTGTGTGTGTGTGCTAGGCTGATGATGATGATGGTGTGTATGTGTGTGCTAGGCTGATGATGATGATGGTGTGTGTGTGTGCTAGGCTGATGATGATGGTGTCTGTCTGTGTGCTAGGCTGATCATGACGGTGTGTGTGTCTCTGTGTGTGTGTGTGTGCTAGGCTGATGATGATGTTGTGTGTGTGTGTACTAGGCTGATGATGATGACGGTGTGTGTGTGTGTGCTAGGCTGATGATGATGGTGTGTGTGTGTGCTAGGCTGATGATGATGGTGTGTGTGTGTGTGTGTGTGCTAGGCTGATGATGATGATGGTGTGTGTGTGTGTGCTAGGCGAGGTGTGCGCGGGCTGCGCGCGCCCCATCGAGGACCGCTTCCTGCTTCGCGTGAGCGACGCGTCGTGGCACGAGCGCTGTCTGCAGTGCGCCGCGTGCCGGCAGCCGCTCACACGCAGCTGCTACACGCGGGAGCGTCGCAACTACTGCCGGCCCGACTACGACAAGTGAGTTCGCGCGCACGCGTTGGTACACACGTGATGACACACACGTGATGACACACACACAGGCACGCGCACACACACACGCACGCGCTGGTACACACATGATGACACACACGTGATGACACACACACACGCACGCACACACGCACACGCACGCGCTGGTACACACATGATGACACACACGTGATGACATACACACAGGCACGCGCACACACACACACGCGCGCTGATACACACGTGATGACACACACAGGCACGCGCACACACACGCACGCACGCACACATGCGCGCGCTGATACACACGTGATGACACACACACAGGCACACACACGCGCGCACACAGGCGTTGATACATAAGTAATGACACACACACACGTGCGTTGATACATACGGCATGACACACACACGCGTTAATACACACGTGATGACACACGGACACGTTGATATATACCAGATTATACACACGCAGTGATACATGCGGGATAATACACACACTCACACACACGTTGAAACGGGATGATGCACACACGTTATTACAAACGAGATGATACACAGACATTGATACATCGGGATGATACACACGCGTTGATACACACGGAATGATCGACACACATTGATACATACAGGATGATACAAATATGTTTATGCACATGGGATTACACACACACACACGTTGATACGGAATGATACACACACGTGATTACATACACGACTACAAGTGGGTATCATGTGATACCACTCACAGTACATATATACATACCCTGACAAACACACCCTGGCAACGTGTTTTAATACACGCAGAGGTGCTGCATGTGAATTACAAACAGCGGTGCCTAACATCGATGTACATACGCACAACAGTTCACGAGTTGATACACACACTGGTACGTGCACACCGATGCGTACACATGTTGATATGTCCATGGAATTATGGCGAAGACGAACGCGAATACAGTGGTGCATATTTATACGCACTGATGCATATTCCACGCGGAACTACTCCCAGACCGCCTACAAGTGAGTGTACGGATACATACAATGGTACATCTACTGATACGTACATAAAGCGACAGTATATATGTTCGTGTAAGGACCGCCTGGTTGTCTACAAGTGTGAGCTCTTTCGCAGCGGTAATACGAGTACGCGTACAGCTACACGAGTACACGTACATCAACACATTTAAATTATACATACACTCACGTGTTCATGCAATTACTGCTGGCCCGGCTACGATAAGTGTGTGTACACACACTTGTTTTAAGAATACATTGGTATTTGTGTGCGTGTGTGTGTATATATATGTTCATATGTTTTTATTTTTTATTTTTTACCTACGTGACTTTACCGTGAAAACCTAAGAGTATGAATCCTTGCAGTCACGAAAGCTTCAAATCTAGAATGTGCATAGGTGCTCGCTAACAGCACTTGCCCCAACAGTCTGTTAAGGCTATACGGGGGTCTTTGTCGTTGCCTATATCTATGCACACACGACGATACACGCACGTGTACACACAGCCAGGGTAAGGAGAGTACACACATGTACTGACACACACACACATTGGTGCATACACCAACAGCACACACGCAGAAAAAAACACTTGTGGGTGTAAGTGTACACTTACCGACATGCATACACCTCTGAACGTGCACGGTGCACACACACTACACACACCACACACACTACACACACTACACACACTACACACACCACACACACTACACACACTACACACACTACACACACACTCTACACACTACACACACCACACACACTATACACACACGACACACACACTACACACACACTACACACACACAACTTATACACAATCATACTCGGCACTCAACAACAGCGCCGTCAATAGTGCACTGCCTTTAAACAAGAAATAGACGTTCCAGGGAGTGGTCCTTCTTCACATCACGTGGCAAGCACACGTTGCTACACGTGCCTGCGTAGAAAACGCATCTGCTGCCAAGAAGGGCCATCGCCCGAAACGTTGCTGATGGTGTATAAGTTTATTGTAGTAGTCGTGGCAGCAGCAGCAGCCAGCAAGTGACTTTATATATTTTGCGGTACTCGGGGAGTATTCGATACATGAATAGACACCGCACCACAATAACAGCAGCGGTGCATGCAGCAGCCGCGTAGTTTGTGTTGCGTAGTGAAGCATGCCGACACATCGGGCACGCTGCGTAGACTGCGTGTGAACTCGTAAGCAATGGAGACAACCACGCTGCATGCCGAAGCGTCGAGCTCATTGCAAGCTGCTGCTGCTCTCGTCTTAAGACCTGTGGGGCCCTTCGCGTTCACGCCAGCCCAGTCTTGAGGTGCAATAACAAAGCCACTACAACAAGACAAAGACCCCCCCCCCCCCGTGTAGCCTCGACAGACTAGAGGGGCAAGTGCTGTTAGCGAGTAGCGGCGCACGAGGCGGGGCAGCACCACGACGCCCGGGCCCCACTGGCGATGTTCTTACGCAGCGGGTTACTCGCTTGAGTCGACCCGGTTCGAGTAAGGGGCCGTCCATAAATGACGTCACGCACCTGGGGGGGGGGGTCAGATATTTGTGACGATGTGTGACGATGGCGCGGGGGGGGGGGTGTTTGAGAAATGTGACGTCACGTCAAAATGCGCAACTTTAAATGAATATAGACAACACGTTCTACTTAAATTTTGATTTAAAGCATTCGTGACTGCAGGGATTCATATTCTTGGTTCTTTCGGTAAAGTCACGTAGAAGGGAAATAATAAAATAATAAAAATATAAAACAATACAATTATCACGACGTTTCGACTGCAACACAAGCAATCATCACCAGGTGTGAAATCAACTGAAAGGAAATTTTCTTGAAATCCACAGCAAGAAAATTGTCTTCCCAAAGTCTGCCCAACATTGGCTTGTTAACTGGGTTGGTTCGTGTTCCCGCAAAGCGTCACGCATCGATTCCTCCACCACCATGGTCGAGGACACACTATCTACCAGACTGACTCATCCATACTGTGTTCCACTACCATACTCACTCACCAATTGACTCACTCACCAATTGACTCATCCATTCACTCACCAATTGACTCACCCACCTATTCACTCACCCATTCACTCACCCACCTATTCACTCACCCATTCACTCACTCACCTATTCACTCACCCATTCACTCACCCACCTATTCACTCACCCATTCACTCACCCATAAACGCATCCATTCGCTCACCAATTCACTCACTCACGCACACACTCACCCATTCACTCACCCATACAATCATCCGTTCACTCACCCACTCACCTATTCACTCACCCATAAACGCATCCATTCGCTCACCAATTCACTCACTCACTCAAGCACACACTCACCCATTCACTCACCCATTCACTCATCCATTCACTCACCAATTCACTCACCCACCCATTCACCACACTGCAGGTCACCTCACTTCACGTTCTGCTTCTTCCCTCACACACCACAACTTTGGAATTCCCTCTTTCCACCATCATCATCATCTTCTATTTCCCCATCTTATACTATAACCTTACTGTTTGTTGTATGGGCCGGGACTCAACAACCGATAGTGCCGGCTGGAAAACCAGGAGATTCAAGCACACAAGACACGTGTAAAGCGAAAACAGCCTCGTTGTGCAAGGTGCCGTAGTTAGTCCTCGTGTCTTGGGTCACCATCAGCATTCATTTGAGCAAACGTGGTGTGGCTATGCTGTGGCTGATGAGTGCCAATTAAAACGAAGCCGGTCCACGGACGTTCATCTCTGCATGGTTTACACAAGTTCCATATGAAATGTGTTTTTTTTTTGCGTTACTGAATAGTTGGCAATGTAAAATTATGGTTTGTAGAATATTTTAATACATTTTCTGATGGTGGTCAGTGTACAGTAATTTCATGTAACCACGTGTACATATTTCGATTTAAAGCTTTCGTGACTACAGGGATTCATCTTCTTGGTTCTTTCGGTAAAGTCACGTAGAAGGGAAATAATAAAATAATAAAAATAAAACATAATAAAATAATTCTCACGACGTTTCGGCCACAACGCAAGCAGCCGTCCTCAGGTGAAGATCAGGTCTGTCAGACGCTGTGTACACAATTACAACGCCGTTTTCATGAACACTTATGCTCGTCTATTTCGCTACCCGCGTGACTTTTCACGTGCATACATACACGTGTAATGTGTATACTGTATTTGCGTGGCGGCCAGGTCTATTATATATATGTGTGTGTAGACCTATATAAAGCACGAGCGAATGGTTTCCACCCTCGCTTTCTGTCGGCTTCAGCGTCACACTCCGCGGGTCTTGAAACAATGATGAAGTCGTATCTTCTTCTTCTTGAACCGATGACGATGATGATGGGGGTGTGGGTGGGTGCCGAGGTGGTTGTCGATCAGAGTTCCGATCTCCCGGGCAGCAGCTTACCTTCAGTGGCGGGTGATAGCCGAGCGAGCTCTGGGTGACCCTCTTAGGAAACAATGGGGATATTTTATTATTATATTATTTTGTATTTTTAGACGCTTTTTATTTAACTCGCTCTGTTGTTGTTGTTGTAGTCTCAAATTTTGTAACTCAATTTTAACCCACTTCCCAATGTGGTATCGACTGCAAACTTGCTATACTTATGTCATTCTGATGGCAATACTATATTCTATCATAAAAAATAAAATAAAAATATTTTTAAACATTATTTTTTATATGTTAGCTTTCGGCCTGGGTCTACGGTAAACTGACGTTGGCTCTAATTGCCCACGGCCTCTTACGTTATGGTAAGCTTCGGGGCCACTTCCTGGAGTCGTGGAGTTCTTCCATTACTACCACGGTACATTTCATAAAAGCGTGTTTTTAAAAAGTTGTATTTTTTAATATTAGTTTTATATCTGTGTAAGTAACGAGGGGAGGGGCGGCGCTACGAACCCGGCCCCCCGAGGTTCGATTCCCGCTCGCGGCCAACAGCACCGGTGACGACGATTATCTTGCACCGGTCCCGAGTCTCCCGTA